ACTCCAATTACGGTGGGTCCTAACTGCCTAGATCTGTAGGACTAAATAAACAATAAAACACAAAGTACCTGCAAGGAAATGTGCAAAGGAATGAAACCACTGCCAGCAGGAGCAGACTGAAACAAAAGGATTACTGGGTGTGGCAACAAAAAAACAAACATTTAAAGGAATCCAGGTGACTGGGATTTCCAGGAACGGAATAATGGAATTGTGGCGAAACCAGCCTCGCCACTGTCCACTGGAGGAGCCTGGTTGCTCACCTGCTCCCTTTAGACTATGGCCCGGCAGTTGAAACCTTTTATTTTCCCTGCAGAAAAGCGTATTCATGCCTTTCTGCAGACTGTTAAAGCCATGCTACCCCAGATTGCTATGCCATGGAGCCCATCCGTATACTGAAAGACTGTATGAAAGACTTTGGCTCCATGGCGATTGAACTGTATGTACGTGATCTGAGCGCCATCCGGTAATAATGTGCGCTCAGATCTAAGCTATCTGGGGATAGGTAGAATGTGTATGTTCTATGTGATAAATGTAACAGTATGTAATTTTATGTCTTTTATTGTCCTTTGTCTGCCATGTGGCTAATGGACTTCTGCCTCTGTCCTTGGAGATAATTGGATTACTTCCCAATTACCTACAGGACAGAGAGGAGGGATTGTGATGCATTGTGGGAGGGTTTAAAGGTGTATGTCTGTGATTGGTCAATGTCCAATATGTTTCCCAGTTTCCCATCTGGTCCCCTAGGGGAGTGTCCACCAGGTGGGAGACCTGCATAAAAGCCGGGCAGGTAGCCCCAGTAAATCAGTTCTGCTTAACCCTCAAACGAAGTGTCGTCTCGTTCTTGGGGGAAATTGGATTGGATGCTGATTGCCAGGAGTGTAAGCTGATTGTATGCTTTTCCTGTTCGGCTGTTTCCAGTATTCGTGTGTTTCCTGTTTGGCAGTTGGTGAATTTGTGTAGTTTGCAGTTCGGGAGATTGGTGCTTACAGTAGCTGTCTGTGCATCTGGAAAGGGGAATATCGCCTAAACAGTTTTTAACCTCTTGCATGCAAAACGGTCCGTTACAGGAATGAAAATAGAAAACCCAGCATGTATACCAGACATAGAATAGAAAACCAGAAAAATTAAACAAGAATTGTAAAAAGAGTACTGAATACCAGAAGCCAAGGCCAGTCACCTCGGCAGAACAGAACAGGATGTGACACTGCCCTTTTTAAAAGTTTGCAATGACATCCAAATTGGCATGGAACAAGGAGACTTAACTGGAGCTATTTTCCTTGATTTTTGCCAAGGCCTTTGACACAGTAGACCATGGCATTCTTTTGCAAAAACTTAAAAATTCAGGGATTGGTGATCGTCCGCTAACCTTCTTTCGATCGTATGTTTCAGACCGATTGCAATATGTTGCCATTTCTGTTAGCACTTCCCTCCCTCTTTCAGTCACGTGTGGTGTTCCCCAAGGCTCCATACTCAGCCCCCTGCTATTCACATTATTTATAAATGATCTGCCTAACGTCTGCAAATCCTCAACTGTACACATGTATGCAGACAACACTGTAATCTAAGCTAGTAAACACAAGCTACCGCAGCTTGAGGCTGTGCTCCAAAACCAATTCAGAGGTAGGAAAGTGGATAGCAGATAACAAACACTGACAAAACTGTTACAATGATCTTTGGAACTGTACCTAAATTACGTAAACTACAAAATGAACAAATGTATTAGAACAAATTAAAATAGCACAATGACAGCAGTCTGTTCTTTTAAATATCTAGGTATGTTGCTAGACTCTAATCTATCCTTTGGCCTTCACATTGAAACAATCTCTTCAAAACTTTAATTAACCCCTTAAGGACCGAGGACGGTTCAGGACCGTCATCGGCATTTTTGCGTTGCCGACCAATGACGGTCCTGAACCGTCCTAACGGTCAGAGCTACTTACCTGATCGCCGTCATTCCCCCGGCGGCGATCAGCGTGGCTCCGGTTGTGGGGAGACTGTCTGCAGCCCAGACAGTCTCCCCACGGCAGATTAGGACCCCTGTGGCCATGTGATCGCTTAACACAGCGATCACATGGTCACAATAGGTGTCCATGTGTCTGCCTGCAGGGGGACTGCCTGTGCTGACAGGCAGTCCCCCTGCTAGTGTAAAATAAAAAAATAAAAAATAAAGTTAATGTTAATAAAAAATAAATAAATAATTATATATGTGTATATATGATATATAGACATATATTATATTTATATAATATATGTCTATATAACATATATATATATAATGTCATACTAAGTGTATTTTTATATTAATATGTACTTATATTAATATAAAAATACACTTATAATTAAATTACACACGTATATATATAATATATATAATAACTATATATATTGTATATATATATTATTATAAAATATAAATAATAAGTAATTTAAATTAAATAAATTTTTTAAAATAATAATAAAAAATTTAAAAAAAATTATATAGCTATATGAAATTTTATTCTAACTGTATTTTAAAATTAATATATATATATTTATATCAAAATACACTTAGAATGAATTTGTGTATATATATCTATGTATATAAAAATAAATAAAAATAATAAGAAATATACATACGTCCATATACAAAATTACATAAATAATTATATAAATATACACGTAGACTTCAAATATATAAATATGCATATATATTTAAATTCTACGTGCGTATTTATATAATATTTTTACATAATTAAGTAATTTTATTGATTGCAATTTGAGGGACCTGCCTGCCAACCCAGGCCAAAAGTCCAGAGAATTTAATTTGCTAGCACTATATTTTACCCTGTAACTTTCTATGACACCCTAAAACCTGTACATGGGGGGTACTGTTTTACTCGGGAGACTTCGCTGAACACAAATATTAGTGATTCAAAACAGTAAAACATATCACAGCGATGATATTGTCAGTGAAAGTTACTTTTTTGCATTTTTCACACACAAACAGCACTTTTACTGATGATATAATTGTTGTGATACGTTTTCCAGTTTTTAAACACTAATATTTGTGTTCAACGATGTCTCCCGAGTAAAACAGTACCCCCCATGTACAGGTTTTATAGCATTTTTGAAAGTTACAAGGTCAAATATATGGGTCAAATATTTTACATTGAAAATGGCCAGGTTGGTTACGTTGCCTTTGAGAGCGTATGGTAGCCCAGGAATGAGAATTACCCCCATGATGGCATACCATTTGCAAAAGAAGACAACCCAAGGTATTGCAAATGGGGTATGTCCAGTCTTTTTAGTAACCACTTGGTCACAAACACTGGCCAAAATTAGCGTTCAATTTAGTTTTTTTACTTTTTCACACACAAACAAATATGAATGCTTACTTTGGCCAGTGTTTTCGACTAAGTGGCTACTAAAAAAGACTGGACATACCCCATATTGAATACCCTAGGTTGTCTACTTTAAAAAAAATATGTACATGTGGGGTGTTATTCAGAGATTTATGACAAATAATAGTGTTACAATGTCACTATTGATAAATTTTAAAAATGTATGTTTTGAAACCGCAATATCCTACTTGTACCTATAGCCCTATAACATGCAAAAAAAGGCAAAAAAGCACGTAAACACTAGGTATTTTTAAACTCAGGACAAAATTTTGAATCTATTTAGCAGTTTTTTCATTCGCTTTTGTAGATGAGTAAAAGATTTTTCAAGTAAAAGTCAAAAAACATGTATTTTTTTCAATTTTTCATCCGATTTTTGTATTTTTTTTAAATTAAAATACATGAGATTATATAAATAATGGTATGTAAAGAAAGCCCCTTTTGTCCTGAAAAAAACAATATATAATTTGTATAGGAACAGTAAATGAGAGAGCGGAAAATTACAGCCAAACACAAACACCACAAAAGTGTAAAAATATGCCTGGTCGCAAATGTACAACATCGCAAAAACAGTCCAGTCCTTAAGGGGTTAAACTAGGTGCCCTGTACAGAAACAAATCCTGCCTAAGCCCTACAGTAAGGAAATAGTGAAACAAATGATTATGGGGATGTAGCGTATGCACCCGCACCACAAACCCACCTTAATAAACTTAATACATTATATAATTCATTCTGCCGCTTTGTACTAGAATGTAATTACTTTACCCACCACTGTGACATGTTAAAATGGCTGTCGCTGGAATCCTGACACACTCTTTATCTTTCCAGGCTTGTGCTTTAGAGCATTTCTGGGAAGCTCCCACCCTACCTGAGTAGAATGCACTCCCCAGCTGATCCTACCTCCGATCAAGTACTAGCATGATATTTAGCATAACGCAATACAAAAATAAAGTGGCTCGATCCTCCTTTTCCTACAGAGCACCGCAATTATGTAATAACAGGGCCGGACTGGCCTACCGGGATACCGGGAAATTTCCCGGTAGGCCGCCAGCCCTGGGGCCGCTTTGACATGTGGCTGCACTCAGCCACAAGACATAATTTTTTTTTTTGTATAGGAGTATGCGGCCGCGCGGCGCACCCGCGCCGGCCGCTACTGCTTCCTGTGCGAGCGCACAGGCACTTCCTGGCAGCCGCCGGATGTGAGCGGATAATGACGACATGACGTCATATCCGGCGGCTGCGCGGCGGCGGCACCACCAGCAAGCCTGAATCGCGGCCTCTCTTCCCACCGGCACCATTGAACTGGAACAGTTTTTAAGGTAAGAATAAGGGGGCTTGGGCTGGGGGGACCTATTGTATTGGGGGGCCATTAATGTATTTGGGGCATGGGGGGGGCAGCAATGTATTTGGGGCATGGGAGGGAGGGAGAGGGGGGCAGCAATGTA